GTAAGATAATCACTATGATATTTTTCAACCTTAAAAACTTCTTACCAATTGTGTTATTAAGGACCACTTCTATTCTTATAGAATGATTGAGGTTTTTATGAAGCATAAAGTTTTTTAGTATAGTGTTATGGATATGCATGGATGGGTGATTTGGTTATGAAACAATACCTTCATTAATTATACTTCGTAAATTTACTTTTTTTTTACGTAATTTTCCACTAAAGTGTTCCGATTTGCCCGAAGAACTTAGATCGATATTTCTCATGTCTTTAAGTCCTCGTCATTCCATATTTGATCCATTTCTTATTCGTTCATAGTCTTCTTCATACTTGGAGAAGGTAAACCATTAAGTGATGACCCGAGCTTCTTCTTATTGTATATGTTCTCATAAAACTCGATAACTTTAGGGTCGGATAATTGGTATTGATAGCGATATTGATCTCTTAGAGGAGTAGTCTTTCAAATATGGTGTTGTGCGCTAGATTTATTGCTATGACCATGAAAGTGGGTTTATCGAGTATACTCTAAAAGGAGATGTCCATGGTCATTAAGACTTGAATTGCTCCATCCATTAGGACTTGTCCTCTCTCTATCCCTTTCAAAAGGTAACTAATTAGAGATTATAAGGGTCTATTTCTTTTTTTCAAAGGCCTTATTTGATAGGATGTTGACAATGATCGTTGAAATCTACTAGAATATTATAAACCGAGGTGATTGAAGACCATTATTGAAAAAGAGAATGATATTTTTTATGCCTAAATTTTAATTTTTTTTTCTATTTTGTTGTCTAATCATTGATTTCTAATTATTTTCTACCTAAGCTTTAATTTTTTTATTATTTTTTTTGGTACTGAATTCACTCGAGGTTGAATTTTGATGATGCGTCCAACAAAAGCTACCATATGGCATTCAACTCTAGAAACTTCAGTACCTTACTCTCATGTGGATGTGAGCATTCAAATAAATAAATAAATAAAAATCAAAAGTTAGGCATTGAAACATGAAAAAAAATTAAAGATTGGGCACCAAAAATGCAATTTTTACAAGAAATTTATTTTCTTGATATTGTAAAATTAGTCCAACAATTTTCACTTGATTACATTACTAATAATATTTTTCATATCATGCTCAATGCATTTTTTATTTATTAAAGGTAATCTTTTAGTACGCTTTATTAGGCTAAATCACTTTTTAAAAAATTTTAAACCCTTTTAGTTGTTCAAATAAATTTAACATTATGTCATTTAGTCCAAATATATATAATGTCCAATTTAGATTATATTCAAAAGAATAAAAGACATATAAGGTCCAATTATGATGGTAATTTGCAAAACAAATGGTTAGCCAATGGAGAAACTTACCAAAAACAAAAATTGCTTTTTCTATATAAGGAGAGATCAACCAACATACCATTAGCGATATAAAATTTTTATAGCCAATAACTTACCGAATAGTAGGTTGAAATGAGATAGAATTGACATGAATATATTTAGTGATCAAGCTATTCTATTTGGGCAATGAAAGTGCAATACTTTTGATAGCGATGACGATAATGACAAAGGTAGTAAATAAAGTGAGAATTACAATAAGAAGTGAATGCATTGTAAAAATTTCTTATGCAATTAGCATAATAACGAGAAAATATGCATTTGTGTAATTACCGATGTTTTTGAAATTTAGAATTATATGACTTTCAATATTTGAAAAGAAGTATTTAAAGATTATATATATATATATATATATAATGGAAGCATAAGAGATTCATGGAATTTATTTATAGTAAAGAAATGATAGATCATAATATAAGAAGATGAGAGACATTTGGTGTGAGTAAACTACAATTAAGTTCTTTAGAAAACTATATTTTTAGTACCCAACTATTGATTATTATTTTTTTTTATTTAGATGCCCAATCTTTTTTTTTTTTTCCTATTTCAATGCCTAACTTTTATTTTATTTTTTTTTCTTTTTCTATTTGAGTTCCTACAACCACCTAAGAGTATAGACTAAGAGTATAGAGTGCTGAACTCTCTAGAGTTGACTATTACATTGTATTTTTTAACTACCGTTAGTAAAGGTAATGGATTCGGGATAAGGCATGGAGTTCTTTGTGATGTTGATAAATAGGAGAGCTGCCCTCTTCTTCTTATTGGACTATTTGGTCAATTGTCTATCAAAATCATTTTGATTTTAAAGACATCCTCCTGTTAAAGGTTATGTCTAGCATTGACCTAATCTGGTTTTGTCTACTCCTTAATAAATTATTTGAGGTACCCTTTAATATTAACTTTTTTATTTCATTTTTAAGAAAGTATTTTTTGATGTTATGGTTGACGTCCTGGTGAAAAAAGTAGTATTTTTTATTATAAAGATGTGGGGGGCTTATTATTAGAGCAGAGCGATTGACGTATTCCTCTCTCTGTATGGATGCAAATACCTCCATTCGAAAAACATTCAAAGGATTCATTTGGCGTTGGGAAAAGACTAGATGCTCGTTCACATGTGCTTTGGGATTCCTCTTTAGACCAGAGTGGTTTTGCTAGGAAGGCGGTAGATTTTTTCTATAGATTAAAGTCACTAACTCCTACTATGAGGGCTTCAGTGGTTACAAGTTCCAGTAATCTCTCGACCTTTACCATTTCTTCGTAGAAGTAGGAGAGATAAGCCCAGTGCTCTTCCCTTCCCTTTCGGAGACTGAGATTATCTCTCCAAAAATTCTTTTAGTGAGAATGTTGGTAGAGAAATGAGCTACTAGTTTAGAGCATAAGCCCTCAAAACTAAAGACTGACTAAGGGTCCAAGGTATTATACCGCTTCCTTACCATTTCTTAAAAATGGTAGGAAGTACTTTATATATGATATCTAAAATCCTTACGAGTAGCTCGATATTTTACCAAAGGTTTTGAACATGTTCTAAAGAATTCGTTGTGCTATCATATGAGTCTAGATTCATCCTACTAGTGGATGAGTCCCTAAGGAGCTTGTCATTTAAAATGCAAGAGGTCAGTGAAGAGGCTTGGAGCTTATAGCTATAATGATCTGACTTGGATTATATGGCAATCACAAGCCATTTGTCCACCAGTTGACATTTGAGTTTGGGACTCATTGAAGTAGTTTAGAAGGAGGAGTTGTCTCTGTGTTGGTCTGTACACCTATTTTACGTAATGTTACGTCCACTCTTCGGCTATGTTGACCCTTGATTTTATCATCTCTCTCCCTTTCTCTTTGGGAGTTTTCTCCGATAGGTTCCTTGTTATGGTAGTGGGAATTGCTTCTTTTTTTATGGTTTTGGGGAATGACAGCCTTTTTTCTGTCGACCCCCTTTTCACTATATCTGGTTGTCCTTTCTTTAACCAATTGTCTGGGGTGGCCTATTTGAACACAAAAAGTGTGTGCGTGGAAAAAATTTATGGCGAGGCAAACGTTCCTAGAGGTGGTACATGTAGAGGCACCTATTGCATTTGTAACGGAGTAGCTAGAGACTTTATTTGATCAAGTTGATATGTAGGACTCTATTAACAAATTGATGCAATTCTATAATTAGATTACATCCATTGACGGGGCACTAGGATTGGCAAAGTTAAAAGATATCGATCATGATTGAGTTTCTTAATTATCAATCATAGAGAAGATTAAGATGGAGAGAAACTAATTTGAGTTTGAATTTTCACTCAATTCCCACGTAAAGAGCCACCGATGAGATCATGATCATTAGATTAATATTGATGATTAGATGACTTTTTATCCAAACTGATCATATGGTTGATATAATTTATTGTATAGGAGATCAATGGGGAGTACTTATAAAAAAAAGATCATCTAATGTTTGGAGTACTCGTTTGATGGTTAAGTTAGAATTAGCATACGATAACAGGTGTTTAGCTTAATTATATTGGGAGAATGATCAATTTGCATCAAGAAGAGGGCAATGAGGTTTATGCCTTTGTGTACAACATATCATGACATCTATCTACAAATTGAGAATTTTTTTAAGTAAATGTTTGTAAGCATCAACGCATATGCAATCATGTCAGGTAATGATGTGATAAATGCTATTAGGAACCATGTCTTCATTAAATGCCTGTCCTTTGCACCTAGCATAGGAGGAAGGAGAATTCCATTTAGTATGGAGGATCATGTTGTCTGTATGGAGTTTACCTAGTCATAGAGTCTTTATTTATTGGTGAGGCAATCCCGACTAGAGCCATGTATAGGGGCCTGACATCCCTTTTTAGATAGAGAGTATACGTGTTGCGGATCGATTTCTATGTATGTATCACTAATAATTCCTCATAGTACATGTTTTTTTGTAATTATTCACAAGGATTTTTTTTTCTTGAAGAAAAGTGGAATAGTTAAAAAGTGCTATTTTAAAAAAAAAAAATTAAGAATACAAGAATGAATATCTTGATTATTAGTTTCAAGATTTGAATTCAATAAATCAAACAAACTATCAATTTTTTTAAATTACCAAGCCAATCTCTTAATATTAAAAACGGATAAATACTGCATAATAAATATGACAACACAGAAGAGCATATAGACACCCAAATATAAATGGAAAACAGTACTCGAATTAAATCCCGAAACACAGCAATCGAATCACGGCATAGAAAGAAGTTTCATTTATTTACCCATACAATTGTAGAGGGAATTGAAGAATAAGTATGTGCATTAATATACTATTCCATCATGTATGGCTGATTCGAGGCCAAGATCTTCGGCCAAAGGAAATATAGTTACGAAATATCTATGCCAGCTAATTACATTCGGATTCGATTCCACATGTCCACGTGTTTTCCACATGAGTAGATTTTAATCCATTTTTCCATTCTTGCCTTGCCATACTGGACCAAAAGCAATATTGTTCTATATAGATGCTCTGACATGTATATCTAATTACATCAAAATTTATACTGGGACTCCTTGGCCAATTTGCTTAGGAGGACAAAAGCAATGGATTGGTACTTGAACATGAATTTGTATTTGCAGGAAGCCAGCATGGCCACATTCATCAGTAGATCAGACACACTTGCACAGAAACAAGGTGGTTGATAACATGTTTAAGCGTGTTTCAGAATAGAAACTGTAAATCAGATATGAAATGTTTAGTTTTAGATTATTCACAGTGCAAGAAAATAATTAACAAAACAAAAGGGAAAGGCAGAGATCAATTTCTGTGATATGGTCACGTATGAATCAAATACAAATATTTCGAACTTAGAACATTATAACATGAAAAATTATGTAACACATTGCCTGTCCCACATAATTTGATTCGATTCCACTCATCTTCCACATGGGTCCATCAGAACGCACTTTTCCACCTTTTTTTCCTTACATATTTATTTATTTATTTACTTATTTATTTCAGTCAAAAGAAGTGCACATTTGACAACCCAAAGAAGACATATCATATCTAAAAAAAAGCTCAGAGTTGGTGCCTAAAACAAAACGAAGTAGTTAGTTTTGGAAAAGATTAACGCAGAAGAAACCATATTTGTGCTAATGTTCATGCACTTAAAGATTGTGTATCTGCTAGCAGTAGCTAGGGAATAATAGCTAATAGAGAGTTTTTATAATGTGATTGCAACTTGCAAAGAACCCATATGCTAATGTTCTTTTATGAAACACCCACATGCAAGCGGTCATTGATTCTGATAGACATGTTTAGTACATGTTATGGACAAGAAGGGAAACTTGATGAAATTTTTGCTTCGTTGTCTATACCCATCAGCTATCAATTGCACTGCAGAACAGAAAAATTGTCTGCTATGGTGAAAGCAGCTGATAAATGGCGTGGACCTTGGTTGGATGCATCCAACCCAACCTTTAGAGAACGCGTAGGCCCGCGCTATGACCATTGACAGAGATCATGAGACCTTTCACGCTTTCGATATCTCTATTTCACTTCACATAGGAAATAGATTCATGATATTCTATCAGACCAACAAAATTGGACCATTCGAACTGTTCTTTAAATTAAGAAGTTTGGTCTCTTTGACCCAATTTGCAGTGGCCTGACAGTCCATTTGCTTCTGAATATTTTCGAGCATAACGATCAACTGCATTCCCTGCTGTATGAAATCTTGGAGAAGGAATCAGCTACGTTGCTTTTGTCAGTCAAAAACCCGCTCAAGAATCTAACGTATGAATGAATTTTTATATTTTTTTCAGAAGGACCGGCAATTTTTCATTGAAATATGCAAAAAGGAAAATAACTACCATATGGCCCGAGTCATTTTATTAATGGTCTTGTTGTTTGTCTTATTAATATTGTCCTTAGGTGCGGTTGGGTTATTAAAAATAAAATATTTGAAATGAAAATATACAAATCGAAATAAATATTAAAAAATCAAAATGATATTTTTCATTTCAATGTTATATTTAAAATAATAATAAAGATTCGTAATGAAATTTAAAATTTTAAAATTTAGCTTTTAAAATAGTTAAGAGTAATAATTTAAAAATAATTTTACCAATTATGTTGATAATAAAAATAATAGAAATAATTATAGTCGTGATAGTGATAGAAGAGAACGAAACAATGGTTATCGTAACAATAGTATAATAATAATAAATAAATAAATATTGTCATTACCATAAAAGATAACAATGGAAGAAAATTGGTAATGGTGGAAAATTAGTCGCATAATAATAATAATATTTAATTTTTTTTATTACTATTACTAATGAAAGTGATGGTGGTGGTGGTAGTAGTATGAATTATGAAAATTACAATCATGATAGAAGTGATAATAGTGGTAGAAATAGTTGATATACAATAAATAATAATAATATATCATTAATTTAAAAAAAAATTGTAGTTTCATTTTTTTTTAATTTTCGTATCTCGTTTATGATAATGAAACTATATTTAATTTTTTTTTTTGTTATCACTCTTTATTTTTATTTTTATTTTATTTTTTCAATAAAATACCTATAAAATTAGAATAAAATTTTTATTTTCATTATCATATGATCATTTCATTTTTTTGTGACCAAACAATACTTTAATGTTGTTAGTTATCTTTGATATAGCTAAAAATATTAATAAAAAGTATTTAAAATTATGACTTTGAATTAATGTAATTAGAATTGACATAATTCTTTGTCATCGGTGTTCAAATCGAGTATCCATCTAGTGGAGAAATGGTTGGACTGATATAGTTACACTATATATATATATATATATAGAACCGAAGGATCATGTATCATATGGAGGTGGGAAATAAACAAAAAAATTTCTTCATTTAAAGGACCTAAGATCATGTCGTTGAATCAACTAACTATATACACATGAATTAAAGCAATGAATAGAGAATTACCTTTTGTAGCACAAATCTAAATTCTTTAACAAAAAAGCCATCCAAGTGTCCAACCTCTATTGATGATCTATGCAGTCTAAGCACCCATAAAGAAGCACTTAAAATGGATATAGTGATAGCTCTACCTTTTTTTATTTGTGTAGTGTTTCCTATAGAAATCTAATCCGAGAAAGTTTGCGACAACCTTAAAGAAAGAGAAAAAGTGTCGTGTATTAAGCTTTTAGGAGAAAACTATTTGCTCCTTTTATATTGCTTTTTACCTTATACCCTAGAGAGATTTTCTCTCTTTATCGAATTTCCTCCCTCTCTTTTCTTACTTGTGCCGCACCTTTCTCTCCTATATATTTATAGGAGAGACTTCCTTGTCTTCTAGGGATAAGGAGGGGTGGCAATGAGTACCTTAAGAACTCTAAGTTATTGCTTCCTAATCCTCAAAGAATTAGGAGTTATTTTATATGTGGGCTTTTTTATCTTTATCTTCAAAACATTTATCGTTATCCAATAAGATTGGTGTTTACCTTCCCATCAAAATATTTTGAGGCTTTTAATTAAACCTATTGGGCCAAAACCATTCTAGCCCAATTAATTTATTTGGACTATTCAAATAAATAATCTTAGATAATTTTAGATAACCCACATTAGAAAATAATTTTCCAAAATCTCCTTTAACCCAAATTAAGAAACTCATTTTTATTTTAGGTTATTTACTTCAAAATTTAGAACCAACTTCCAAATTAGTAAACTAATTTTTAAAATAAAAACTTTTCATTTTAGGAAACTTGCATTTAAAGAAACTTCCCATTTTAAATACTTTTCATTTTTGGAAATCTTTTACAAAATTGAAAACTTTCAAAATTGGAAACGTTTTCCAATGTCTTTGCTTCTCTTTAATAATGTGACCACTTAAATTTATGCATATGACTCAATATGCTCCTAAATATGTTGGCAATGTATCAAAAACAAAAGACTCCTCTTTTATCTCTTGATACATAAATCAAGATTGGCATCTAACAAAGCATCATGACTATCCAATTCTCTAGGAGGATTAATTAATCCATTATTACCTATCACGAGCATGGTTATCATAAAATTCAGTCCTAATGTCAACTTATCATAGTGTGATCTCGAACTTAGTTATAAATCTTGTTCAATTATGACCACATAAGTTTTCTTCGATTCCCAAATATTTTAGCTCTTAAAGTAAACCATCTAAGCTTTATTAGTGTACTCTTACTATAGTCACAGATTTCTTAAGCAAACATTCATTGAAGTGTAATGTGATAATTCTTTTAGTATACAAGGAATGATATGTCCTATCTTAGTTATACACCCACCTCCATTAGATTGTTAGCACGATCAACGAATCGCTCACGTGCAACCCTTGTTTAGGTCTATCAAAATGAGGGTCAAAGTGCATAAATCCTCTAATGAGATAACCATGATGACTTCAAGTCTAAGAACCAATTGTGCCCATATCGTATAAGATTCCCACATACTAAACCAAATGGGTTCTCACGGCGAGTCAAGTCCAATGATATGTTCTCTAACATAAATCACCTAAGTGATTACTTTGGTATCACCATGCCAACAGGTGTGAGATCTTCTAGTGCTATCATATAACATGAGCATAGCACTCACAAGTCTGTTCGTATATAGTCAATGTCCATTCTTGACCATACTACAACATGGGACATTTAATGATCTCATTTATATGCATTAGTGTTTATCTCACATCTTTCAATCAATCACTATTATAAATGCATATCACACGAACTTCTATCTAATTCTACTCGAATTAATAAATATAAGAGCATAAGAATTAATAGAAAGACTTTTTTATTATTATTAAAATAAATGATGCAATAATATAATAATGTAAACTCATCTAAACATGGTTGGATCTTAGGTACCTATATTAACAATCTTCCACTTGCATTAGAGCCAACCAGTCATGTCCCTTATGCCCGACGATTGAGTAAGGATCTTAGGTTTCAGTTGTGATAAAGGCTTAGTAAAGGGGTCGGCTATGTTATCGTCGGGGTGGACCTTAACTATCCTTATGTCACCATCACCGATAATCTCTCTAATCAAATGATAGCATCGTAATACATGCTTAGATCGTTGATGAGACCTTTGCTCCTTAGCTTATACTATAGCTCCATTATTATAATAGTACAATACTATTTGATCAATAACGTTAGGAACCACTTGTAGTTCGGAAAAAAATTTATAAATCCAAATAGCCTCCTTAGCTGCTTTTGTGATTGTAATATATTCAGTCTTGGTTGTTGAGTTTGCCATTATTTTTTACTTGAAACTTTTCTAACTAACAACTTCACTCGTTCAATCGAAAAATGAATCCTCATTATGACTTAAAGTCGTCATGGTCAAATTAGAAACTAGCATCTATGAATCATTTCACTACTAGTTAATATCCTCCATAGACTAAAAAAGCACCCTTAGTTCTTTGCAACTTCTTTGAATGCTATTCATAACAATCTAATGTTTTTCACCTAGATCAACTTGATATCTACTACATATACTCAAAGCATATGAGACATCAAACTACGTAGATAACATGGCATATATGATAGATCTTATGGCCGACACATAGGGAATGCAACTCATCCTTTTCTTTTTGTTTTATATGTTAGGACACTCAATCTCAAAAAGTTTTATACTAAATGACATTGGAATAAGTCATCTCTTGGATTCCTCCATACTAAATCTCTTTAGTATTTTATTAATGTACGTGCTTTGAAAGAGTGCTAACATTCTTCATGATCTATCTCTATAGATCTTGATTCCTAGAATATAACCTCGCCTCTCCCATGTCTTTCATGGAGTGATTCTTAGTAACCAATATTTTACGGATTGTAACATAGTGGTATTGTTGCCAATAAGTAGTATATCATCTACATATAGCACAACAAAAATAATTGAGCTCCCATTAACCATCTTGTATACACAAGGTTCGTCTTCGTTTTGTGAAAAATCAAACTCTTTGATCTTTTCATCAAAATATTAATTCTAACTCCTAAATGCTTGCTTAAGTTCGTAAATGGACCTTTGTAATTTACAAGTCTTATTTACATGTAGTTTGGTGATAAAACCATTAGGTTGTGTCATGTACACATCCTCAATTAATTTTCCATTAAGGAAAGTAGTTTTAACATCCATCTCGCCATATCTCATAATCGTGATATACGATAATTACAAGTATAATTTAATGGATTTAACCATTACTATTGGTGAAAAAGTTTTTTCATAATCGGCACCTTGTTTTTTACAATACCTTTTTGCCATCAGCTTGCCTTTGTACATGTGTGTACATATTCATTAATGTCGATCTTTCTTTTAAAGACCCACTTACACCCAATAGGTTTAGCACTTTCGGGAGGATCAACCAAAGTCCATACTTAGTCGGTGAACATGGATTGCATTTCGAATTTTATGGCCTCATACCATTTTTTGGAGTCAATGTCTAACATTACTTCTTCGTATGTATTAGGTTCGGCATCTAGTATGATAGACATATC